AGACAAACAGCCTTCGTCGCACACGAGCGCGATCTGAAACTCCGAGGAGGACGCTCCAGATCGAGGTAATCAGTGACTGTATTGATTACCAGAAAACTGTAGGGTGTGTCAGAAGTTCCTGCTTTTCTCAGCCTTTTTGCGAGTCACATTTATTTTAACAAATAAAAACACCAATAAGCAATATATCCAACATTATCCAACATGCTGGGCAACAACCAAGCAAAGCGTAAATGCCTAGCTTCCAGAAGCTTTCCGGTTCCATTCCGTAAGAGGCTCAGATCCGTTCTGATGTTTGGAACGTGGGTTTTCACCCGGATGGTGGCTGCTGAGGGACACGGTGAAATGGCATTAAGACGAAACTAAGTAATTGCTTTAGGTACGAAAGGCCGGTAGAATTTCCCAGCAAATCTTCAGAATCTGGAGCTGTGTCGTTTAGGTAACGTGTAGCCTTGGGGAGTCGTGGAGTAGATAAACTTGGCTGGGCTGTAGCTAGAAAAAGGAATGATTCATGTTGAGGCTTAAGGATATGCTGATGCTAACCTGACATTGTGGGGCGCTTCGCCGTATGAGCTATAAATAAGGAGTTTGGGCCAGTTCCAGGTCCTAAAGACGAACGTCCTAGGGATGTCGAAACGTTGACCAACACTGCGTATCAACAGAAGCAATCCTAATAGGCATATGTACCAATATGGCACACGTGCTTAACAAATTCCTAGGTTTTAGCAAGAGGAAACTGGAATTTGCGGATGGTAGAATGTTTCTACCTTCCTTTACACTTGCGAACGGCTCGCCATATACACAGCAACACCTTTCTAGCGGCTTGACCAGTACCAATTACCGATTTTGATTTCCTGCTGGAACTATCCGTTGACGCACTTTTCTCAGTCCAACTTGTGCAGAAATAATACTAATTGTAAGAAGAGGCGATAGAACGACGGCGTTTGTATCTTCATCCGTTAGCCTACGCGACTTTGGCGATTGGTGGAGGCACAAACTCTACGAGTTACCTTCCGACCTCATTTCTGCTTACGAAAGTGGAGATTTCCACAGCTGCGAAACCGTTCACCTCGCATACAGGGAGGGGGGGGGGCAAAAAAAGGCACTTTGGCCGAGTCACATATCAGTAAAGTTTACGCAGCCCAGATAGAAGACGTGGATACGAGTACCAGGGCGGAAGATACCCAAGATGTTCGTCCGGAAGGCTGTGACGGATGTTCGTGATCGTGTGCATTGTTGAATTTGACGGTGAAAATGACTAGTCAAAATTAAATGAGGTGTAATTTATAGCCTTGAAAGTCGAAGAAGAAAAATGCCTTTTTTTGCCCCCCCCCCCTCCCGTTTGTCAATGGTTCACCTCGTGAACGGTCAGCGGTTCTTTAGGCAGAAGCGATCGCACCAACTCGACTCTATACTGTGGGGAATAGGTTACTCCAGTCACACCATAGGGAAGCGTGACAAAAACGACGAACCCGCCTTATATTTTGCATATGAGAAGCCACTGAACAGTGGAGCGACTGTAGGTTATCTAATGAACACGCTTCACCTAGACCTCATAATTTTCAAATCGCGAAATATCTGCCACGAAATTCGTGAATTTTCACGAACTTT